GAGAGAGAGAGAGAGAGAGAGAACGAAAGACAGAAGGGAAGAGAACGAGAGAGGGAGAGTGGACGAATACAGTTTACGGTAACACAGAACTTCATCGTGCTCACACGGCCGAGAGAACGTGGAAACCTCGGTTCCACGTACCGCCGTTGGTCGGTCTCGATTATCTTTCTCTCCGTACGCTTCTCGACGAATCTTGGACGAGTCACGCGGAGAGCGAAGGAAAAAACGGACCGTCGCGGTAGCACCGTGCGCGGCAGTGCAGCAGCAGCGTACCAAGATGCTGTCGTCAGTGTCAGCGAAATAATAATGTGGTGCGACGTCAGTCAGGTGAGTTTCGCGCGCGGTTCCGCGCGCATCGTTCCCTCTTGCTCTCGCGCGCGCCGCTCTCGGCCGCCGTCCTTTTTTCCCGCAGCCCCCTTATCTTCTCCTTCGCGCGCGCGGTCGGCCGTTCGCTCGCTCGCTCGCTCGCTCGCGCGCACGCACGCATTCACGCACCACTCGCGCCTCCCCTGGGTGCGTTCCCTTCCTTCGGCGTGTACGACACGCGTGCCGCGTTTCCGCGTTACGTGCCGGTCGAGGAGAGCGGGTTACGTGATCGCGAGCGCGCGCGCGACTTTCGGCTCTCGAAGCAGCCAGCCAGCGATTGTGAGAGAGCGACGAGAGGCGACGAGAGGCGACTCGAGTATTATATTTTGCCGTCGGGACTTTAGTTTTTTTTTCAATAACAACGTTACAAAGTAGTAATATACAGTATGTATACAGTATCAGCGACTAACGACAAGACTCTCGTAAACAATGAGGAAAAGATCGGAACGTCTCTCTCTCTCTCTCGCCTTCGTCGTCTTTCCGTTCATCGGAATTTGCCGTCGGAAAATTCCCTCCGTCGGCTAGCCGCGCCCAACGGCGACTATGCTTCGACGGCTGTTTCTTTCGAGGAGCAAAAAAAAGACGGGCAAAAAACGGAAAAGAAAATGACGACTCGCCGCTTCTCCACGGCGCATCGCGCTTACATCGTTCTCGAAAATCGATCGACGTTCCCGCATTCGCTCGCTCGCTCGCTTTTTCCAGCATCACGAGCGAAAATCCGTGGAAAAATGTACGCGGCATGCACGAGGCGCGACCGCGCGCGCGTAGGACGACCAAGTGTCAGATTTGACGCGTGGTAACCTCGTGTTCGGTAGTTTGAATTCGAAGCGATCCCGCGTTTCCTTGGCCCGGCGGGGAGGGGGGGGAGGGGCAGGGGGATGTCGGGCAGGGGACGGGGACGGCGGGAGGGCGGCCGCAAGGGGAAGGAGGATGACGAGGCAAAGCTCGACGAGGGGGAACACGACGAGGTGGCTTGCGTACTGTGTGTGGGCCGTGGAGTCAGCGGGGAACGCGAGAAGAGAGGGGGGAATGGAACGAACGACAGCGGCAGCTTGATAGCGCAGTGAGGTTGGGACGCGAAGGGGGATGCCGGAGAGCGGCAGAGGCGAGTGGCGCGGATGGGGGAATGGCACGGTGGGAGCAGGGGGATAGAGAGGGCGAGATCGCCCGAGGCTGTGCTGGCTGCTTCCTCTTCGCTTGGCCAGCGCCGCGAGGAAACCTAGCGTCGGCTCGGAGACGCTAGGTGGGGATACGGTTATAACCAACCATCAAGGGGCAGCGTCGTCATGGTTACCACGACGACAACAACCCGATCTGGTCTAGGGGGGTGTTTTTAAAGACATATTCGCTTTTGCCGCGTCTCTCTTTCTCTTCCTTCTCTTTCTCTTTCTGTTTTTGTTTCCCTCTCAGAGTTCTCCACTCCACCTTTCCCTCCCTCGCTCTTTCGTTCTTTTTTTTTCCTTTTCCCCTCTGCCTATTCCTTTTTCTGGCGATTGTTTTTCGTCACGAGGTCTTTGAGCAGCGCGAAATGTTTTGCGACAAAATCGAAGGAGAGGGGCGCGATACCGTCAGATTCATAATCCACGAAGAGAGCGCGCTCGAGTCGTAATTCTACGCCACCGTCGCCCGAATTGTTTTCCGAGATATTTCTCACCGCGAAAGATTACCGTCACATGCATGTTATTTAGACCCAATCTGTTAACCACACGCAGCATCGTAAAAAAATCCATAAATAATACGAACATTACTCCCATCGAATATTACTCCGTTCAACAATAATTATGTAGATTGCTAAATATTAAGTTTTACGTGAAACACTAATTTAATTAGATATTATTTGTCTCATTTGCCATAAAAATGAATCTTAAAATGTAGAAATTTTGTTCAGAATGTTAAGCTTTTAATCTGTCGTACCTCGTCACCATACGTTTTTCTATTTCATCATTTCGTGGAATTTGTCCAATTTATCACTTTCTAGTTACTAGAAACTAATCTCTCTAGAAATTACTAAAAACTAATTTTCAGTATTTTTGGTCTTTCGAAAGCAGAAGGAACTTGCAGCGAGCTATGTATAACATTTCGAATATGTTTTCTGAAGGAAAATGATTATCTACAGATTCATTCTTACTATAATGTATCACTTAGGTACGTTTTTACGATTTTCTTTTGATGATTAATTTTCGGATACAGGTGGCCGAAATGAAAAAAATGAAAGCACGTTTGACAATGTCCTAAAAACGCTGACCACTTGCGGATAGTTAAATACAATAAGATTTTCTGACGTATCTTTTTCCGGACTATTATCCGGAATAAATGATCCATAATGAGGTGTAAATATGTGACTCGTGCCATTTAAATCTCAAGACGGTTCAAAATTTCCCTTGCAAACCATGTGCAACTTATCTTTCTTGCGTTGCAAGAATTACTTTGTCAGATAGATTAAAATAAAAAAATTGACAAAAAATATTTAAAATATTTTAGAGATCAAGGGAGATAAAAAAATTATTCGATATACTCGTGAAGTAGAATGAATATTCGAAAAATAAACATCGTATAAGAACATATCGATACTTTCTTGGCATTCTATTGATCTAAAATTCCGATGTTGGATTAGATTTTAGATTAGATTTCTCTTAGATTAGATTAGATCCGACTCAAACAAGAGTAAGTTAAGTGCCGTCGTTGTCGAATGTCGAGGGAAGTAAACCGGTGGTTTTCTCGCCGACGGACAAACGTTGCGATTTTGCGTAACGGGCGTAAAATTGGAGCGCGAACGTAGAACGGACGCGCCAAAATTCGGGTAGTGATAAATCAGCAGCGTGCAGTGTATGTCTAGGGGATGAAGGTGGACGAACACGGGGAGAAGGAGGAGAAGGAGTAGGACGAGAGATGAGGGACGGGGGAGGGTTTTTCAGCGACGGGCGCTTCCGACGGCCCGGTGTACCATCGGTGGCCCGATGACCGACAATAGCAGTAGTTTTTCCACGTGGTTTCGCGTCGTACGCGACAAATGGTTATCTCGGTGTGCATCGTCGTGTCGCATCGTTAAACTTGGACGGAAAAATTTTCGCATCCGCCCTCTTAACCTTTCAACCCGCGAACCCGCGTCGATTCACCCACCAGCGTAGAATAAGTCGCTTGCTTTCAATCAAATAGTGTTTACTATGAGAATAAAAGTTTATTATGAGTAAAAAAAGATACAGAAGATTATCGTGAAATAATATTTTAATCCGATTGCACATGGGTTATTAAAGTATTCGTAGTCTTTCGCTTTATCAGAGTCTATACTATTGGAATTGCTAATACTATTTGGAATTGCTCAGAAAATTGTATTGAAATTCGAGGAATTTTTTTGAAGCTGTTTTCTCTAATAATTTATTTTTTATCTATTAATCTTTATATTAATCAGAATTTATTGATTAAATTGTTAACAAATAATGAATCTATCCATTTTGGACATCATAACACTGATTTTATGACTAATGCAATATTCAACACTGAAGACAACGATTTTTCGTATTACGTGTAATTTTATTTAATGAAGACGGATATTTATTTTAATAATAGTTAGTTAATAGTTTTACAAAAGTTGAATTTTATACAAATTATGCATCATATAATCTTTTGTCTGTAACTTTTGAAAATAAAGTTTGAAAATTTTATTTAATATAAAATATTCATTTTTTAGAGTCCTTATATTATTGCTTTCAAAATTTTTCAAACTGAATTATTGAAACTATAGTAATTTTTAATTTCATTTCATGATTCATAAACTTTTGTAACTGGAAAATATTAAGGACTACACAATAAATATATTTTTATTTTTTAAGGTATATATTTAAAAATGTTTTCATGTTACTTGGAATTTTTAACAAATTGAAAATCAAGGAACTTTTTTCAGTTTGAGTACATCCCATTTATAATTACACAGTGATATAATAAAATCATGATTTTTATCACAACCTTAATACTAAGTTTCTGGGGTACATTTTTACAGCCTGAGCATTTCTGGAAAAAAACGTGAATTTTTTTCGCATACAGAAGAATTTTATTTTCTCTTTAACTTATTAGAAAACTTTGTGGCTCATAATGTATACTTATTGAGTGAAATTACATTTTGTAATTAGTTTCGATTTTTAACATTTTATAATTAAGGAATTTGCAACACATTGTATTCATTACATTTTAAAATAATAATTGCTTCTAGCAAATGATATATTCTCTTCACGAAATGCACACATTTTCTCTAAATACTCGAAAGGGGAAACAATAAACATTTTTAATATCAATTTATTAGTCTCAATTATTTCGGACTAATTTACAATACAGAAATTAAATAGAATCATCGGTACGTATCACGTAAACACTCGAAATATTTTATCGGGCTATATTATAATCTCTCGTGAAAATGTAATCTGCAAATTTTTCGACATTAGCGCACGCGCATGGTGCATTGGGCCGTTTGCCGAGTTTCTAAATTCTGTTGACGTAAATAAACTTGAATTTCGCGGGAAATTGCGAGGTCATCGTACTAAATACTGACTTATCGAACTTCTCTAACGACACATTTTATCGAGACGCGCGTATAAACACGACTATCAGAGCGAACATCGATTCACCGGATAGCGCAACGTATGTGACATAACTCCTCCGCGAAATCTATTTCTGTTCACGATGTATTTCCGTATTATCGACGTAAGCGGCGTGGTGATACCGGACCGCGCGTTTGATTTGATGCCGAGAGGTAAACCGCTGACCAAAAACGTGTACGCTAATCCCATAATAGCCGGGATTGCATATGGATGGGAATGGATCTCGCTTCATTAACTGCTCGAAAAACAATTACACACTCGATCTAGACTAGTGAAAGCGAAAATATGAGAATTCTTTCATTATTCATTATTCAGTAAAAAAAAAAAAGATATCCCTCTTCTCTCCCTTCCCACTCATACGAGGGAACG